GTAGTGGGAGGGGAAACCCAGCAGGAGCAGCTCGGAGTGGGAGCGAAGCCTGCCTCAGCTGGTTTCGCTCCCCTCTCTGCTTGGCTCCAGCCACTGGAAGCCCTATTCTTGCAGGAATCTTCCTGCAACGGGCCTCTAGTATTTAAATAATGCCATGGATGTGTGAAAGATAGAGAGGTGTTTCTAAGAATTGATCATAGTGAACAGTTATGAACTGTGCCTATAGCAACACAGAAAATTTATAGAAAATAACGTGCTATTTATTCCATTGCATGCATTCTCATCGCATCAGTATATCCCATCTGTGATGCCAAGTTCATGAATGGAATGGCTCTTTCTACCTTAATTTGTATACTACAATGGCAAGCAAAGAAATTTACAGAAGTTAGCATATAGAAATACATACCAAGATGCTCTACAAATCTGTATTAAGCTATGTAAATATTTCAAGAAATAGAATACAATACTTGCACAGAGAGATGTTTTACCTTTAATGTAAAATATCAAAAAGAGAGACATCTGGGTGCAATTCAGCAATTTTTGTTGGCAATTGTGGGGATCATCCTGTTGTACCAGTCAATAACAAATATTGTAAATCCACCTCCACCTACAATTGGCTATAGCCATGTATATAAGTAGTGTCCGCTGGGATGTGAAGAGAAGTGAATTGTGACATTTCTGGGTCTTGCTAATTAAAGGACTGGAATTGGGCTTCCCTTGCCACTTTTTCCTTCCCCCTTTACTAGAAGAAAGTGACAGTAGAGCCTCAGACCTGTCAATTGAATCTGTTTATTGATGTGGAGCCACCATGTTAGATTTAGACCACCTCTTTCTAAAGTCTTATGAAATAAGGTTAAGGTGCTATATTTTAGAGAATTTTTATAGTGGCTTAGCCTGTAATAATTAATAAAGCATTTAATTTTATCTTTTAGCTATATAAAATTCCAAATTCATATTCCATATAAATATTCATGCTAATGGAAAAGGTCCATTCATTAATATTACTTCCAGAGTGACATAAATAATATACAATGCTTCGTAATCTGAAGATCACTAAAGATTATCCATAATATGTCAGAGCCTTCCATCATTTTGTCAGATATTTTATTGGCTTAGAGAATCTACCTTTATGTCTCTCCACCAAATCCAAATTAAATTGATTGTAATTTTGCCATAAATTATGCTGGCAAAGCTATATACTCTTGATTCATTATTTTAATTCTAAAAAAGAAATATCTATCTTAAAACTAAATTATCAAGCTAAGTAATTTTCATTCTGATTTACCAATGCAGGTCGATTGAAACAAAAATTTCATTCCAGGATATATGACAAAACCATTTTTACTTCAGCTTTTCAAAGATTTTATAAAAATATTGACACAAAGGCCTAAGATGCTCTTAGCAGATAACAGAAACTTACATGTTATGATTTATAATAGGTAATTTGCTGAAAATAAAATAACCTGTATATACAATTTTGAAGAAATAAATAAAACAGTGTCTTCTTTGGCAAATACATTTTTCTTCTGTGAAATATTTTATTTTATTATTATTAACATCTAAAATTAATAACTTTATTTAAATATTAATTTCACATAATTTCTTTAAAAGTGACAATTAGAATGAAAATTAAAATTCTATGGGTCTCTGCATAGATAATAATTATGCATATTCTATATATACTAGTGGCCCAGTGCACGAAATTTGTGCACGGACGGTGGTGTCCCTCAGCCCGGCCTGCACCCTCTCCAATCTGGGACACCCCTCTCATAATCCAGGGCCGCTGGCTCCTAACCGCTCACCTGTCTGCCTGCCTAATCGCCTCTAACCACTCTGCCTGCCTGCCTGACCACCCCTAACCACTTGTCTGCCTGCCTGACCACCCCTAACTGCTGGCCTGCCTGACTGATTGCCCCAAAACCAAGCCTCCTGCCTGCTCTGGCCGGCTCCATGGCTCCCACCAGTGCAGGCATCTTTGTTGAATCAATTTGCATATCCCCTCCTTATTGGCTGTTGGCGCCACTATCTTTATCTCAAAGTGATGGCTAATTTGCATATTACTCTTTTATTAGATAGGATAAGGAAGTAATATGCAAATGAGGTTGGACTCCATAACGGTCATGACCAGCTCAGGAAGAGGGGTTGGGCACGGCCCCAAGCCTGAGAGAACAACACGCAGGCATGGCCCGGAGCCTGAGAGATCAACACAGAGGGGCACCTGTTCCGAGCCTCTGTGGCGTGGCTGGGGGCAGGCCCCCAACAAACACACACACACACACACACACACACACACACGGGGCACCTGCTCCAAGCCTTGGTGGCCAGACGGGGAGTGAGCCTAAGCCATCAGTAGGACATCCCCTGAGGGCTCCCGGACTGTGAGATGGGACAGGCTGGGCTGAGGGACCCCCATCCAGTGCACGAATTTCGTGCACAAGGCCTCTAGTATTTATATATTTTATAACAATTTAAAAGCACAAAAAAGGGTTATTAACATCTATCCCCAGGGAAGCATAGCTCAAAATATATCTTTAAGAGAATATATATCTTGACTAAAATATTAATTCATAAATTAATACTATGATGTAAAGACTCAGAGTATAGCATATCAATATTGGCAGATGATAAAGGGACAGGATCAATTTTGTTATACAATACACTTTCTCTAACTTTAAGAGTTAA